TACCAACGACAGCCAATATGATGGAAAGTTCAATAAAAAAAATATATGATATGAAAACTACTTATATTATTTTGAGTTTAATTAAACTTGTTTAAGATTTATTATTTTTTATACACAAATTAATTAATACTTATATTGGGGAAAATTCACAAATACACATGGTCTTCATCCAATGGTTCAAAGAATTTATATTTATATTTTTCAATCCCATCTGCACTCTTAATAACAAGATACTCAACTTGATCATTAAATCGAACTGATTTTTTCCTCTTTTGCTATTGTCCCTCAGAATCCTGAACCATCCTTTCTGTTGACATTGTCGGAAATTAGGATACTGATCTTGTATCCTTACTTTAATTTTTCATTTTTGTAATTAGTTTATATAAAGGAATTGAATTTTGATTTTACTTATTTATTGAAGTTAAAGTTTTTGTGCTAATTTAGCTTATTATTTACCCGCTTGTGGTCGGGATTTTGGAAAAACTACTAGACAAATAACATTGATTTGAAGGGTTGTAATTTCTGATAGAATTAGTTACGACGTAATTCATCTAATTATGAAGAGAATTGATTTGTTGACCATGAATTTAATTCTTCATAGGGCTTTATCTATAGTTCCTTCTAGAGGGAGTCAAATTTAAGTGAGGTACATTTTTTGCTAGTAGATAAGCAGAAGTCGTCCGAAGTAGATTCTACATTATCTTTTCAGAAATTATCATGTTTGATACTTTTGGAATGTAGATTTGATTATTTTTTATTTCATTTTTGTGATTGGAGTTAGGCCTTATGACTTGGCTTTTTTTCATTTATTATAAATTTCATTTTTATCAAGAATTCGATTAAATTATATATATTAAAAGTAAAACCAAATAACAATATTAATTATTTCGTCAAACAAAAGTTGACTCTGAAAATTAATCCAAATAAATTGAAGACTTGCTAGCCATTATTTCTTCATAAAAATCTTTATCATGCCCAAAAGAATCTATTCAGGATATTCACAATATGTTACAAAAATGATGGTATATGTAGAAATAATTAAACTTCTCTCTTATTTATTCTTTATTCCTTTTCCAGAATTAATGCAAAGTACCCACAGCAATATTGCATTAGGAGACATACGCTATAAACTTAATTAAGTTTGGAATCTTCATCACTCCAGATAACACCTAAATTGAATTGTCATCTAAATATGTACTAAAGAGTATGTTAAAAATGAATATATACTGCTTCATATCTAATTCAACATAGAGCAAGTTCTAGAGATTTGAAATTGATTCAATGAGTTATTGCAATAGATTTGTATTCAATGTTGAACTACATAAATTAATTGAAAGTATTTGAAGTTTCTCTGACAATGATAATTACAAACACAATTTTTGCCACAAATTTTAATTCAATTTGTATTCAATTGCATTTAGATAGAGTTATTATTGGTCCTCATATTCAAAATCTTCATTTTAAGTAATTATTTTTTCTATGAAGTTAAAAACTATTGTTTAATGATCCGAATTCAATATTTGATTTGAAATTTATAAATAATTACTTTTACTAAGTGGTTTATTGAAAGTATGGTTAATGTTCTGCTTTTCCTTGAAATTATAGGTTTACTTACTTGAATTTAAAATTGAATAATTTTTTATAAGACATCTACTTCTTATTCTTATTCTTAAAGCCATTTGATGTGTTTGCCATTTAAAATTTTTAATTTCTAATCTTGAATAGGTACATAGTAAGTGAGAGTGTGTTGATAATGTTATGTAAGTAGACAAGTTTCGCAAAGTGAAATATCACAATCTTGACAAAAATATTAAATTTGTGAAGAATGCAAAAAACAAGTATTTAATTAAGAATTCATATAAAATATTAAATTTAATTTTGAATAAGTAATTTGGTTTAGAAACCCAAATGAGGGTTATTAATAATCAAATTCAGTCATAAGATAAGGAAATATTGATAAAAATGGTTAATTTTTTATTTTAAAAAATATTTTGTGATATTTTAAATATATAAGTCCTTTTAATGAATTTAATAATTTAGAATGAAATGCTTAAAAGATATAAGATCTAATGTAGTTGAATTTTATATTACATTTATAATAAAATCCTGAAGAAATCAAAGAAACTTTTTGATTCTTTTTTTTGATAATAAAAGAGGAGAAAATCTTTAATAAGCGAAATATTTGCAGTGCAGAAAGTGTGCTAGAAGTGCTAGAAGCCTTAAGTTAGGTATTATGATTGATAGGAAATGAAGAGCAGAGAAAAGCTTTCTGGGAGATTAAATAGCAGAATATGCTTAAGGATGTAGAGATTGCATATTTTAAAATAATAATGAGGATTTGATGATAGAGATAATCGCATATGATGTATGAATCATATTGACTTCCATTTGTATTGATTTGATTAATTTTCCATTTCTTTTGATATGTAATTAAATTATCCTTTTTATAATTTTGAAAGCATTGTAAAAAAATCTTCAAATAATAATCAGTATTAAAAATATTAATGAGGATGGATAAGAGTTTAATAAAAAATTTAAAAGTTAATTACTGAATTGTTAAAACTTACATTGCACTTATATAAAAATAATAAGTGTGCTAGAATTATCAGATAAGAGTTCCATAAGCATCCACAAAATCTAATCAAAAATCAAATTTTATTTAAATAGATTTATGATATACTTGTTTTTTTTTTAGATATAAATAAGAATTTTCCTAAACTCAATATTTCAATTTCAAAATATTCAACCATTCCCAAAGGTATAAATTGTTAATTGATAATTGAATTAGTAGACAGAATTCAGAAAAAAAAAATAGACCTGACAATCAAAGATTCTTAAAAGCAGCATCGCAACCTTTGATAATTGATAGAATTTAATAATTTATTGATAAATTTTCAATAATCAATAAATTATAAAATTCTTTTAAGTATCAAAGGCTATTATCAAAACTGCATGAAAGAATATATCATATTATTGTATATGAAACTAAACCAAAGGAGTTGATCTAATTTTCATCTACTTCAGAGGTTATTGAAAGGTAAGAGGACGTGCGTATTTTGATTTGGATGATATCTTATAACTAGATATTTCAACACATAAGCATAAGGAATCAGCTATTTTAAGATATCAGAAATGGAAAAGGATGTGAAGAATAAAATAACACTTTTTAGCCTCGGCTACGTTGCTTTATGGTTTTATTTGAAAGTAACTATTTCTTTAGCAGAATTGATGATTAGTCTTTTTTTGAATTAGTTGCGAATTAACCTGCTTAGTAATATATTAATATATTTGAAATTGAGTTAAAAAAAATAAATTAACTAAGCTTTAATTCATAAATATTATTTTTTCCAGTCTTTTGTTGAAGTTTCCTTTAGGTAGACTATTTAATTAAATTACCAACCAAAAAAAAAAAATAATTTTGACTAATGATATGCTCAATCATTTACTTTACTCATTTCCTCTTAGGGGGTCGGAATCATGAGCACTGACAGTAGCCTATCGGCCATCGAGAATATTGCCCTAAGCCCCGCCAGGCTCCGGAGTCCTGAAGCTAAATGTTGGGGTCTAG